CCCCAAAACCCCAAAACCCCAAAACCCCATAGTCCATTAATTCAACATTAATAAGATTAGCACAAAGGAATCAAAATATAAATAAGATTGATAGTGAGTTAAGTATTGATTGAATTTAATATCCATCGAATAAGTAAGTAAATTTAGTGGAATCATCAACTTGACGAATGTATCAAAGCTCAAATGAATCCTCTTCTTAATCACTAGTCCATCTCATTATAGAGAGGAGGAGAAGAGGCTCATTCAAGCTCGATATTTTTAGGGTGGGTGTACTTATAAGTTCCCCAGTTCTCAATATTGCTCTCAATGTTTTCAACTTGCTCCTTGGCATCAGGAACAACCTCTGAAATTGAGATATAAAGAGGGAGAACAAAAAACTTTATAAACCCTATCTGATTTTTTGAAACATCATTCTTTACTCTGTCAAATATATCCATTGTAGGAAGTCCAAGTCTTCGCTCTTCGTCTCCTTAGAAGAAGAATTCTTCGTGCAACAGCTCTGACCACTTCAAAGAAAGCTCGAATGTTCTGCAGTGGATACCTAAGTCAGCTGCGTGGATCGCAATATTGAATAGGTCTTAAGTCTATTTAGAGGGCTGATCCGAAGGACATGGCAAATATGTATTAAATCCAAGTGTATCTTTTTGAATACATTATTAGAAGGCCTTTAGTTTATCAAAATGCTTAGCCATGTCTGTGGCAAGAATACTCTCTATCATTCTCTTCCTGAATATCTTCTGTTAGGTGATATCCAGTTATTCCAAAAAGTTATTTTCTGGTCTCATTAAGTCTTCAAAAGCACTTGCAACATGGAAATTTTCTTAAACAGAGACATCATTGTACCTAATAGCTCTTTCAGATAATGAGTTTATATGATACTGATTGTTAAACCCATCATGCTTATAATCATGACAAGCACAAGCGATGATAAATGAAAACTCATCTAACGCATCAAATGCTGCCATTTTTCTTAGTCCTTGATTCAATAAAATTTAACTGCTTTAAACCACATCAGCCCCGTGAAGATCATTGTGGTATGCAACATCTCTTCTATACCCTTAGTAAATGTTACTGAGGAAACTCATTAGTTTGTCTTGATTAATAGATCTTAATATCTCATTGTTGGATAAGAAGTGGTAGGTTATTATTATCAAAGAGTTTTCTCTGCCTATGATTTAGTTAGCTTTGAAGATATTGAATTTTAAATCATCAATTCCTTCCTCAACTAACATAGAATTGTGCTGCTTGTAAAGATTCTCAAAATTTCTGTATTACTGTTGGTCTTATTATCGGCAAGCAATTTACTGGCCATTCTTTTTACCTTCTAGGTGAATGAAATGGCTGTGGCTTCCTGATTATAAGAATTATTTTAGAAGATTACACCGACCAAACTCCAAGAACTTCTAATCTTAATCTTTTTAGTCAACTTACTCTTTCAACTCAATCTGATTTAAGCTGCAATGATGATGGTCAGGTAAAAATTCGCTTAACTTTAATCTTATTATCATTTATTATAATTTTTCCTTGTTAGAAGTATTTATCTTGATGAGAGTGCTAAAGTCTATTAACGATTTTATTATACTCTAGAGTTGATTGAGTTTGGAATTTTTCATCCACGCCCCAATTACAATAAGTCTCGCTAATAATTAACAAGCATCATGAAGTGTGGAGTTATTAATTTTTTGAAGATTATTGCAAATAAGTGAATCAATAATGAAGGCATTTTCATGGTAATCTATCACAAGCGAACAAATATCATTCTTTGTCTCAGATTCATTCTGTTTGATTCTAAGAACATTATCTGCTAAAGCCTACAAATCTGAAGACAATATGTCTTATAGCTGTGATATAGAACTATTTTCTTTAAGGAATATTTAGAACTTTTTTGCCAATATTATGTTTTAATGTTTCTCCATCAGAGTAAGTTATCAGAGAATCTAAAAAGAAATTTCCCTATGGGTAGAAGATTATATTATTAATTAATATGCAATTTAAATTAATAGGATTTCTTGTTTAAAATTGGGCTTAGGTTTAATATAAATTTATTTAACATATTATTGACATATTTATGCTTAATTCAAATTAACTTCATCAAGCTCCGTAAATCTTTTTATCTTCCTCACTTTCCTCATATTCTGCCCATTTAATAGAATTAGACTTAGCTCTCTCAATAAATCCTGACATTCCAGGCATAATATCAACAAGAGTCGTCCACAGAGGTAGCACTATACCATTAATAAATCCAGGTTGAGTTTCAGGAACCTTGGTTGTTTTTCGGTTACAATAAAAAGAGATTGGTAGGCCTTGGTCTACCTCTACATCCCCTTGATTGAAAAACTCTTCGAACACTAGATAACACCACTTCTGGGAAACTTCAAAATTTCTTGCTTGTTAAGATAAGTCACAAGCATGTAAGCATAACTCCATAATAAATTGTTGACTTTTGAAAAGTGAAGCCTCATTTTCTTTATTTATAATCATGCCTTAATTCTAACCGTTTTTTATCTGCTTTGACTCAGCTAGTGATTTGAGTTAGCTCACATCAGCGAAATGCTTAGCCATATCTGTTGCCAATATGCAGCCAATCATTCTCTTTCTAAGGATTCTAAATTCTTCTGGCTTAAGTGTTTCAAGGAAATTGAACTCTTGTTTTTTAATGATTGCAAAAGCCTCTGCAACATGATAACTTTCTTGAACTGAAACATCATTTGTCCTGATAGCTCTATCAGATATTGCGTTCTAATGATAGCCATTAGTAAATCCATCATGGCCTAAGTCGTGGCATAGACCGGCAGTTAAGAAGGCAAGGATATCAATATTGTCCAACTCAGCTATTTGAATCAGGTCTCCGTCATTCAAGAACAAATTAGCTACCTAGGCCACATCAATACCATGTAGATCATTATGATAACTGACATCTCTTCTGTAAGCAGAATAAACTTAGCCTAAGAATAAGGCATATTTTTATTCATTGATAAGAGACTCTAGTCCATGATTTATCAACATATTTATAGCCAGTAATGGTAATGTCCTTTCTCTACCAACTGCATCACTGAAGTTAAAGAGATTAAATTCTTGCTTTAGAGAGTCTTCAAAAAACTCCTCATACTGTTCATACTCAGAAAGAAGAGATCTTATTGTAATAGATCTCTTAAGAAACGGTATGTCACCCTTAGACTTTCTTCCATTTGGACTCATCGAGGAGTTTTGCTTTAATAATTTGAGGGCACCAATATTAGTCTATTCAGTCTGCGCTTCAGAATACTCGTTTAGCCAGTCAATTATCTCACTGTTTCCCTTGGATATCTCTTTGGTTAAATACTCATCAAAGTTTGATCTATAGATTGACCTATGATTGATGTTGTTAATGGCAAAGTTCAGTTCCTTGAATAAATTTTAATCCTTAGTTTTTGTTTGTAGAAACAATCTTAGCTTGCCAAGTGATTGAACTATCTTGTCAGCAGGCGTCTGGAAACCTTTCATCACATGGTGATAATCCTCACTTAATTTGGAATCAGTTTTTCTCAAAATAAGCTTTTCAGCGTCTTCTAGGAATATATCAAGATCGATCAAGTCATTATCTGATTTCTTCACTAAGTTCTAAACCTCAACAAATGTCACATGCTGGCTAAGTCTTAAAAAGTCATATACCAAGATGAGATGCTTGTTATTAAATGTGTTTGAGGTAGCATCATACTCTATGATTTCGTGTTAGTGCGTCAAAAAGCTCCTCCAATGCTTTACTTGACTGCTACTCTCTATTTTAGACATTTTTATGTTCTATTTAATTAATTTATATTAAAATGATATTTAAAGATTCACTACATTGACTCTATGGGGTTTTGGGGTTTTGGGGTTTTGGGG